CAAAAATAGAGCTAAACCAGAGTTAAATCTGTTACTGTTATCAGCAGCTGAACTTCCAGAGTTCCCACAGTGGTTCAGTAACTGGATGAAGTGGACTGAAAACCAGCTCTGATGGAGAGATGGATCCTCTCACAGGTGGAGCTCAGCCTTTTCCCCCTGAAACTTTCGGGTTTTCTACTTGAACTGGTTCTGACTGTGGTGGGAATCGAGCTTCCTCCCGGCAGACTGCGTCACGCCGGCTCTCTGAGGAGTTGCTGGGCGACGATGTTTAGAGAAGCCGGCGAGCAGATTGTGTCCAGGAGTTGATTAAATTTCCGCAGCACACGGAGAGCCGGCGGCTGCTCAGACAGCCTGAAGCAGCGATGAAGAGGAGGCGATGAAGAGGAAGCGTCCTTCAGCCCCACAGGTGACTGCAGTTCATCTCAGAAAAAGAACCAAAAGCTTAAAGGACATTGGGTAGGATTATAAGTATTTTATTAGCTAAATAATTGTCTTCATTTATAACTGTGTCCTTATTTGGTTCAAAATTAACTCTACAATGATCTGACTTCTCCGCATAAGCAAATAATTTCCTATCTGTATATACAGTAGAATCTCTACATAGGAATCTAACTGGTTCCAGGACCGACTTCGTATGTTAAAATATTCGTATGTTGGTTCAAATATTCCAATCAAAATACACTGTAATTCGTCTAATTCGTTCCAGAGCCCAAAAAGCTACCCTAACTCCTTAATAAAGACAGCAGATAATTACACATAGCAATAAAACAAATACATTATATAAGAGAGATGTAAAAAGGAATAAATTATAAAGAAATTATCAATAAAAAGGGTTTTTTAATGGCACTTTACCTGAGATAGAACGGAGGTAGAGGTGGAGACTGAGATACAGGACTTTCCCTAACTTACTCTGACTTTCATTACCTGAACTTTAAACTAACTTAGCTTATTTATTTTTATTTAATATTTATTCAACATCTTTTTCGATGACTTCAATGTCATTTGTTGGAAATTTACTTAGGGTGTCGAGTCGAATATTTGATCGAATTTCACTTAGAAAATTCGTATGTTTAGGCGAGTCCATCTTAGCTCCTCTTTAACAGGATATTGAGGACATCTTTCAAACTTTATTGCTTGAAGCAGAGTCCACCTCAGTGGCCTGTGAGCATTTCAAATGGCTTTAAATAGACGTACACTGTGGACGAAAAGGTTCCTTTAGTTTATTTAAAATAAAAAGGAGAAAATGAGTTGCTTCCTGCTGGTTTTCCTGTAAAAGCTCCTGTTCTTTGCTCTTCTATATCCAGTACGGATTTATGGGGGGTTTCTGAGGGGACGAGTCGCTTTAAACATTTAGAAACAAAGAATAGATTTGTTTAGTATTTTCTTCATTTAATTTGAACTTTTTACTGGGTTTGTTCAACTTGAACCTGGAAACAATCTGCAAATATCCTGTTTTCATCCTTGATTTTGGTTTTATTGAAAACATACAACTATATCTGGTTGTTTCTGACGTATTCAGAGACACTGATACCGAGTTATCGTGTTTTTTTAAAAGAAAAAGGAGAAAACAGGTTCCTTCCTGCTGGATTTCCTGTAAAAGCTCCTGTTCTTCGCTCCTCTTTGCCCTTCTTTGCTCCTCTTTGTTCCCCTTTACTTTTCTTAGCTCCTCTTTGCTCGCCTTTGCTCTTCTTTGTTCCTCTGTGCTCTTCTTCGCTCCTCTTTGCTCCTCACCTTCATGGGTGCTCTTTTTTGCTCTTCTTTGCTCTTCTTTGTTCCTCTTTGTTTCTCGTTGGTCTTCTTTGCTCCTCTTTGTTCTTCTTTTCTCCTCAGAGGCTGAACCTCCCCTTCTCTCCCCCCCCAGCCTCTGTGACCCTCCCTGCCATGGAGATGCTGCTGCTGTCCGTCTACATCTTCACCTTCCTGACGGGGGTCCCCGCCAACATCCTGGCCTTCTCCACGCTTCTTCGCAAGGCGTGCCGCAAAGCGGCGCCGGTGGACGTGCTTCTTCTCAACCTGACGGGCTCCGACCTGCTCCTGCTGGCCTTCCTGCCCCTCAAGATGAAGGAGGCGCAGGACGGCATGCTCTGGCGGCTGCCCTACGCGCTCTGCCCGCTCACCGGCTTCCTCTTCTACGTCAGCATCTACACCAGCACGCTGCTGTTAGCCGCCGTTAGCGTGGAGCGCTACTTAGCCGTGGCGTTCCCGCTCCGCTGGTCGGTTTGCCGTCGCCCGCGTTACGCCGCCTGGGCATGCGCCGCTTTCTGGCTGCTGACCTCCGCCAACCTCAGCATCGTCTACATCCTGCCCTACATCCAATGGCGGCATGGCGCGGGGGGCGGGCCAAACGCTAGCGCCTGTGCGGGCGCCGCCATGCCGCCGCCGCCCACCTGCTACCTGCACTTCACCAAAGAGGAGCTGAGCATCCTCCTCCCCGTCCGCCTGGAGCTCTTCCTGGTTCTGTTCTGCGTCCCGTTCGCGGTCAGCTGCTTCTGCTACACCAACTTCGTCCTGATCCTGTCGCGGCTGCCCAGACTCAGCCGGCGCCGGCGGCTTCGTGGCATCGGCCTGGCGGTCGGCACGCTGCTGGTTTTCGCCCTCTGCTTCGGGCCGTATAACGCGTCCCACGTGGTGGGATACGTGACCCGGGAAAGCCAGCCGTGGAGAGACGTGGCGCTACTGTCCAGCACCCTGAACACCTGCCTGGACCCCTTCATCTTCTACTTCTCTTCTGCGGCTGTGCGCGAGGCGCTGAGCTGCTGCCTGCGCGGGGCGGCCGCGAAGCTGCACCTGCTGTTCAGGTGGCGCCAGGCGCCGCCGCGCATGCGCACCGAAACCCGGAAGTACGAGGCGGGAGCGCCGCCGTTCGTGCTGGAGCCCCGACGGCCGGAAGAGGAGCAGCACGCCGGGCAAAGAGCAGCTCTGGACGGCGTGTGATCGTCTGTGTGCTCGCTCTATTTAAAAGCCGAAACACGCGTGATATTTCCATCGGATCCAAATCCGTTTCAAGGGATTTTTTCGTTTTTATATCTGTTTTTTGCAGAGAAAATGATTAAAATCCTCAGATTGTTTGCGTCACTGAAACAACAAATGATGGATAGAATATTTGAATTTAATGTTTTATTTTCCTGTTTACTAAGTAAATTAAAAATTGGATTAAGTCATCCACAAATTTCCCATAAGCCATAATGAATTATTAGGACAAATGTTTCACTATCAAATTAAAAAGTTTTAAAATCTTAACGCTGAGTTAATCAAATGTTGAACAATTCTGCTTCAGTTTGTTCTCCACATCTATTGAGGCTATATCAGGATATTTGATCCTATTTTAAGGTGTGAAAAACCCCCAAAGTACTAGTTGGAGTCTTCAGACTTGATGCATTTTAGTTAGTTAAAGATCGCCTGGCTCTTTCTGGTTGCCGACACCTCTTACAGAGTTCAGAAAGCGGCAGATTTAGAAGGAAAATCCTGTTTTGGAAACCAGCCATCCTCATTTATTCAGCATTCATTAACAGAACGATACGAGAGGCAAGTAAGAAACCAGCAGCTGAGCAGTGTTTAGGAAGAATTAAAAGTCCAAATCAAGGCAAGAACGAGCACACAGAGCTTAAAGATGTGTCAGATTTATTCCAAAAATTAAATATGACAAGTAAAAAGGCTCCATGTGGGTCCAGATGAGGCCGGTTCTGTCAGGCCCTCCAGGCCAATCGGAGCCATTATTGCTGCCATGAAGAGGGAAGACGCACTTACAGACACAGAGTGAAATAAATAACTGATCTCATTAGGAGAGGCTTGGTTCTGGGCCGGGCCCAGCAGAACCCGTCCAAACACTGAGTGTGTTTCAGTGTTTCTTTAGGGGAAGCAGCACCATCAGGAAAGGCACAAGCTGGTGGCAACGCCGGTTCTGACCGGATCCCAGCAGGAAGCAGCCAGAGGCTGAATGTGCTCAGCTGTAAAACAGCCGCCGGGCTTCGCTCAGAGTCGGCGAGCAGGCACGACGGTTTTGGTCCGACCCGGAGGCCCAGAGGCCCAGAACCGGGTCAGCCCGAGGCCCCACAGAGCGGGTTTCTGCTGGTTAGCAGGTCTGGAAAAGGCCCAAAGCGCCCGTCAGGAGCCCAGAAACAGCAGCAGCTGTCGGTCCTTCTGGCCCGTTTGGGCCCAATCAGACGGCTAAAAACGGTTAAAAGGACCCCGGATGTGGGTCCAGGTTCAGAGGAACCACATCTGGCTCCCGTTAAAAAGGCCTGCCGGCTTCTTATTGCACCGACGAGCTCGTCCAGCAAACCGGGGCGGTTCTGGAGAGCAGCGCTGATTTAAGGGCAGCACATCTGGAGCAGCTCCAGCTGGGGGCAGCATATCTGGAGCAACTCCAGACAGAGGCTAAACATCTGGAGCAGCTCCAGACAGAGGCTAAACATCTGGAGCAGCTCCAGACAGAGGCTAAACATCTTAAGCAGCACATCTGGAGCAACTCCAGACAGAGGCTAAACATCTGCGGCAGCTCCAGACATAGGCTAAACATCTGGAGCAACTCCAGACAGAGGCAACACATCTGGAGCAGCTCCAGACAGAGGCAAAAACATCTCGTTCAGCACATCTGGAGCAGCTCCAGACAGAGGCAAAAACATCTCGTTCAGCACATCTGGAGCAGTTCCAGACAGAGGCAAAACATCTGGAGCAGCTCCAGACAGAGGCAAAAACATCTCGTTCAGCACATCTGGAGCAGTTCCAGACAGAGGCAAAACATCTGGAGCAGCACATCTGGAGCAGCTCCAGCCAGAGGATAAATGTCTGGAACAGAACATCTGGAGCAGCTCCAGCTGAAGACAGCACATCTGGAGCAGCTCCATCCGTGGGCAGCACATCTGCTGCAGCTCCAGCTGGGGACAGCACATCTGGAACAGCTCCAGCAGGGGCAGCACATCTGGAGATAGCACTCTGGAGCAGCTCCAGCTGGGGACAGCACATCTGGAGACGGCAGATCTGGAGCAGCTCCAGCTGGAGATAGCACATCTAGAGCAGATCCAGTGGGAGATAGCACATCTGGATCAGCCCCAGCTGGTGGTAGTACATCTGGAGACAGCACATCTGGAGCAGCTTCAGCTGGGGGCAGCACATCTGGAACAGCGGCTCAGGCGAAGTACATGGTCCTAAGGGCGTCCTGGTGGATCTGGACGGCCTTGGCCAGCGACTGGGGGTCTCGGCCGTTGCTCTGCCCAGAGATCTGGCTGCCCTCAGCACTGCGGCACAAACAGCAGGTTAGAGAAGGGGGAGAGAGGGCATTTGACCTCTGACCCTGCAGCTCATTGGCTGCTGGAACAGAACCAGCTAGACTCTGAGAACCAGGTTCTGCTTTCGAGTCAGAACAGGAGAGGCTTCGTTTCAGCTTTCTGCTCCTAAAATCTGGATCAGTCTTCCTGAAGAAGAGACCGAACTCAGAGTGTTTAATTCCAGATAAAAACATCTGTTTATCTGCACGTTTATTCAATGATTGTTTTATTTTGTTGAGCTTATTTCTATTTTTTTTTCTTTAAAATCTTTGTAAAGCACTTTGAATCTATTTAATTTACTTTATTGATTCGTTTCATTTATTTTTCTGGTTTTAAACTCTGAGCACTTTGAATTGTGAAATTAAATGGGCTTAAATCGAGGCTGAATTATATTGAATGAATTCTAGTTAACTGATTTTACAACTGGATGTGTTTTATCTGCACTTTGAATCTATATTAAAAATTATTGTTTTATTTTATTGAACCTAATTCTATCTATTCTCTGCTTTTAAACTCTCTTTAAATCTCTTTGGACACTAAATGTGCTGTAAAACAAAGCTGCCTGACCCCTGACCTCTGAGCCTCTGGATCAGAACTGGGCCTGAGACCCACCTGTCGTGCTCCTTGTCCACCAGGTGGTAGCGGGCCCTGAAGGCCACCAGGTGGGCGTAGTAGGCGGGGGCGGGGATGGAGACGGAGCGCGTGCAGCGCACGTAGGTGTGGCACAGCTGGTAGGTCAGCAGCTGGAAGTCATCCGCAGAGAAGCAGTTGTCGTCCCACAGGACGTGGTAGTGGGAGGGCCGGCTGGTTCCCTGTGGGGGGGCACAGCACAGCTGTCCATCCAGGACCTGAACCCCAAACCCCCCCAAATCCTGGTCCTGGTTCTGCTCCTCCAATGGGAGGAACCAGGGTCTTAACAAATGAACCCCTCAGCAGACTCTGTCGGTTCTAAACTCTTTATTCAGTTTGTGAAGTTTCTGGAATAATCTCTTAAATGGATATTGTTAAATAACTATACCATATATATGTATTAATAACAATAAACAACAATAAACAATAAAATATTTAGTGAAAATTTAATATTAAATAACTTTCCCCACAGAAGCCCCGAGCCCGTTTTAGGTTAGCTTAACTTTATCTTATCATAGCTTTAGCTTAACTTTATCTTAGCATTATTTTATCTTGTCTTAGCTTTCGCTTAGCTTTTTCTTAACTTTAACTTATCTTAGCTTTATCTTAGCTTTACTTGAGCTTTATCTCATCTTAACTTTAGCATTAGCTTAACTTTAGCTTATCTTAGATTTAGCTTAGCTTTAGCTTAACTTTATCTTTAGCTAATCTTAGCTTTAGATTCGGAAAATCTTTAGTTTATCTTAGCTTTATTTTAGCTTAACTTTAGCTTAGCTTAACTTTGCTTCTTCCTCCCCCCAGTGAACAAAACTACTCACTGTTCTATTTCAGAACCTAAAAAATAAAAATCAATAAAAAGGTGCAACAGCTCTGGAGGGTCACCTGGATCCCGGCGTGGCTGCACAGGTAGAAGTCGAACTCGTAGGGGTGTGTGATGTCTGTGTCCACCGTGGTGCCGGCCGGGATGTTCCCGCTGCGTCCCACCTGCAGGAGAACCACAACGCATGATGTCATCATCAGCCCCACCCACCGTAAACCAGCCCCCCTCTGCGGTGCCTGCTCTGAATGAGGAGACGTTTTAGGGCAGTTTCCTAAACAAGCAGCTGGAATGAGATCCAGGCAAAGCTTTGAGTTTTTACCAAAAGCTGCCAAGAGATGGTGCTTAGGAGCCCAAACAAAGCAGCTGGGAGCCGTTTCAGAGGCTCGACTTTAGACCGAGGCTGATTAAATGAAGCTGAGATTTCTGAGCTCTGTAAACACAATGATTTCCCTTCATCTAAAGACCTAAAAAAGCTGATTTTATGTGATTTTCTAAAGAATTCCTCACACAGATGTTCCTCCCCATTTAAATGGATCACACACAGTATCCTCTCCTTTCTCAGGTCACATGGGAAAGCATGCCCTGCTCCCATTGGCTCGTTGGGATGACTGAGTCCTGTTTGACACGGCCTCGTCCAATCAGATCTCTGAAATGAGCAGGAAACTCTGGTTTTACAGCAAACTGCTCTCTGAGCTTTCTGGGGGGAGTTGGTCCCTAAACGTGCTCTGATTTGGTTTCTGGCAGCAGGACAGCAAAGGTAAGGCAGCATTTCTGAGGCCTATTGTAGAGCCTGAAGCAGAAACTTTGGTCTTTGCTGCTGGTTTGGTGAATCTGAAGCTCTGAGAAGCTCTGCTGCTCTCTTTTGGGTGCTAACTGTGTTACCCGCTCGCTCCGGTCCGCACAGAAGAGTCGAGTGTGATGGCGCTTCTGCACCACGATGTAGGTGATCCCCGGCTGGTACTCCTTCTCCAGGCTGATGCAGGCCTCCCGCACAGCCAGCAGCTCGTAGCACAGCACCTGCACACAGCTGCAGTCAGAC